GAAGAGAAATGGGGGAGGATGGCTGCCATGTGGTGAAAGGAAAGGGGTCCCCAGAGCCAGTGAAGAGGGCCTGGCTTTGGTTTCCCTTTGGCAAGAGAAACGAACCTTTTAGCCAGGCGTTTCATGAAGGGTTTGACACAGCCTCCCTTAGAATGAGCCTTTAATCACACAACCTTAAAGAAGACTTGTGACCTGTTCCACAAAGGGGGGTGCAACCAGCACCACATCCCCCACCCCTTGAAAGACCAGTTACTGCTGGGGGAGAAGATGGGGAGGCTCCCATGGGGTGGCCTTGGCGGAGAAGCCCTAAGAGGTTGGAGGACATTGGTGGCACTCCTACCCCCCTCCAAGTTTCTTCAAGAGGAATCTGAAGGAATCAATCCTGTCAATTGATTGAGGGGGGAATGTCAGAGGTCCCTTCCCTGTCCCTTATGTGACACTGTGTGACGACAGGAGTCCAGATGTTGCACACATGAGGGGCCCCAAATGAATCCAACATGGAGAGATTTCTTTCCCTTTCTGCTGTGATGTCTGAAACCACAGTTTTTCTCAGCTGAGAAAATGCCCCAATTATGGGGCCGCATGGTCAGCCGTAGGACTCAACCAGAGCCCCTCCCTGGCAATGGTGCATCTGAGTCCCACTTCTGTGCTTCTGAATGTGTTTCTCCTCCCCTGAAGGCACACAAGGAGCGTGGAGGGAGACTGGAGCTTAGTAAAAGGCCCTCCACAGCACACAAAATTAGCAGCGGCAGCAGCAGCAGCAGCAGCTTCCTTGAGCATGAGATGAAAGCCACAGCCTCCTATGCATTCCTTCCTGCTGGCAGCAGTGACATTTTAGGGTGGCCTGCATCAAATGTAGTTCACCAGTCAGAAAACAGAATGGGAAGTGAAGCATGTGTATTGGGTGGGGCAACTTTAATTGCAAATAATTTTCATTACAGATATTTTAACTTTTCTTTAGAGAAGTGCATGTGTTGTTGTAATGCATGAGTTTGGCACCAGCCATTGAGCTGCGACCCCATTGCCCGCCCGCCCGCCTGCCTGCCTTTGAGGGGCAAGTGATCGACTGCGGGTTGGAGCAATGTGGCAGAACTGGAAACCCACCCCAGCCCCCGGCCTTGCGCTCAGCTGACCCCTGGCACTTTCTTTGCAGCAACTGGCCATGAACAGTAAAACGTTTCCTAACGACAGGATAAAGATTATTATCCTGAAAAACATGTATGATTAGGTAATTATTCAAATACTAAATCCAGAGAGATAGAAAAGTGCTGCTCACCCTCTTGCACTCATGTTTGAGTTCTTAAAACTCTTTTAAACTGGTTGGATATGTCTTATGCACACTTGGGTTCCCTTACACAAGCAGGTGGGCATGACTGACCGATGGGCTGTGGCCACATCCAGCTGAGGAGTTTTACATATGGCACTATTTCACATGGTTACGTTCTGTGCATTGATTGTGTAGTTGTGCATGTAGCATCAATGTCTCATGCACATTTAGCTATGCCATGTCATAATTCTGTAATGACATGGGATAGCACCAATGTAACTCTGTGAGCATAAAGTGCCACTGTTTCTCCATGATGTGGCTCTTGGTTGTTGTTTCTCATCATTGTTCCTTCTAAACATAAATGTTTAACTGTATAGGATTTCCAGACATTTCATCCTTCTGCAATTAGCCTCTGTGGATAAATGTATCCAGGGAATCCTGAGCGCCTAGGCTATGAAGCTTGTTCCCCCTTTGAAATTAGCAGGGATGAGGCTTGATTTCAGGGGAGCTGAATATCCTTTCCCCCCACCCTCTTCTTTTGCAGGCACAACCTCCACTAAAAAGAAAAAAGGTGAGCTTTCTGCTTCTCCAGTTTTTCATCAGTTTCTGTTCATCCAGGAAGGCCTGGGCAATGTCCCCAGCTCTGGAGACATGTTTGCTTCTTGCTTGACAAAATCCACATTAGATAAGGAAAAGTTGTGGATTAATTTTCTAGAAGTAAATCTGGGGAAATACAGGACAATGCTGTGAAAAAATACATAGGATCCACAGTCAGACATTCATTGTGAGTATAATGACCCCACACTGAATGCTTACTCTGAGGAACACCCACCTGTCCAGAACAAGAGGTAACCAACAATACAAAGGACCAATGGACCAAGAGGATGAACCATCTTCTTCTGTGCACCAACAAAACAGCATGCTAGCAGTTTTATGATAATCCAAAGCACAAAACAGCCACAGCTTCAGATATAAACCAGTTAATGGATGAATTTTGCCAACTCAGGTATAAATGTTCTAGATCTAGTGTTAAACACCAAAAGTTCATTGGAGCAGAGAACTCTTGCAGATTCCTATTCTTCATGCATAAACTCATAGAGTTCCATGTTTTGCCTGGTTATATGCTAAAGTATGGGTGGGACTCACGTGGCGCTTCTGAGACGTCAAGTGGGGCATGCCATGGGCATTCCCCACACTGGTCCGGTCATTGGCTGGCTGCACTGTCCAAAGGGGCAGGACCTCTATGGCTACCAGGGTTTGCTGTCAAAGTGGACAACGGGGGGGGGCTGGCAGAGGAGCAGCATCCAACCAGCCATCGCAGGGGGCTGCTGTCTGATCCCCCACTCACCCCCAGTTCACACCACATCAGCTCCCTTTCCCCCACAAATTCCAATATGATGGCCACTCAGGTTGTGAGCAGGTGTGCTTAAGGACAAGTGATGAGTGCCAGAGTTGCTGCCTAGATGCTCTCTCTGTTGAAGCCATTCCAGAAAAGGTGTCGGGCGGGGGTGTTTTTGCCCTGGCTGCTCTGTCCGAATAGACTTTGCT